ATGCAGGTTCTACAGACTTGCAGGTGCTTGGGATAAGAGATTAAGGTGGAGACATTCGGTAGACCATGTAAGGTCCTGAGAGGAAGCTAGAGTGAGACTCTTATGGGAAATTCTTCACCAGTGAGCAAATATATATACAGACCTATCCTCAAAGGCTGAAGGAGCTTAGAGGCCAAAGAAAGAAGCTGACAAATCCAGTTTCTCAGAAATAAATATTTAATAGGGACTTATGAACAGAAGCTATGTCTTAAGTGGTCACAAGATGGTGGATCCCTACACCCACCCTCCACAAAGTATCCTTTATATAGCAAACTTTTAGGGTAAAGATGTGTGTAGCTAATCATGTGTCAGACTTCCTCGTCAAAATTTGTGACCATTAGGGAGATCTGTGCTATGGACATCATTTAAAGACCTTACTGCAGAACACTTTGGTATGCAGGAGTCAAACAGTGGTCATCATGGTGGTTTCATTCAGGATAGTGTCACTCTTGCTAGGCAACTAGCTATTTTCCTACATAAATGAAGACATTCAAAAGTAGCCATGTATACAGGGAAACTGAGAAAGCCATAATATAAGATACATGCACAGAAAATACCTGAGAAGACCATAAGCTTTAATTCAGGTGCATTTCTAGGTTTAGAGCAAGCCGAGCACAGAGCCAATCTGCCAAGACTGGGAGAGAAGGCTTTTTCAAGTGCCCAATTTCACTCCCCCCACCTCCCACAAAAATCACAAGGCATACAAAGAAACAGGAAAACATGGCCCATTCAAAGAAACAAAATTAATTGGCAGAAACTATATCTGAGAAAGCATGGCCATCTTACAGACTAGACAAAGACTTTAAAACAACTGCCTTTAATGTGCTCAAAGTGCTAAAGGAAAACATACAAAGAACTAAAGGACATCAGGAAAACAACATATGAACAAAATGAGAGTATCAACAAACAGAAATTATAAAAATGAACCAAATTCTAGAGCAAATAAAAATGCAATAAAAATTTAAAAATTCATTAGAGAGGTATAACAGCAAGTTTGAGCAGGTGGAAGAAAGAATCAGCCAACTTTAAGATATTTGAAATTAAGAAGTCTGAGGACCAGTAAGGATTAAGAAAAATGAATAGAACCTAAGAGACTTACTGGTCACCATCAGGTATTCTGATATACATATGAATATCCCAGAAGGAAAAGACAGAATGGGGCAGAAAGATTATTTGAATCAATAAGGGTCAAAAACCTCCCAAATTTGAGGAAAGACACATGTCTACAAATCTAAGAAGCCTAATGAACTTCAAGTAGAATCAACCCAAACACTATAACCAAACTGTTGAAAGACAAAGAGAATCTGAATCTGAAAGCAGAAAGGGAGAAGCAACTCATCATATGCAAGGAATTTTCAATAAGATTATGAACTGATTTCTCAGCAGAAACTTAGGAGGCAAGAAGGCTGTGGGATGGTATAATTAAAGTGCTAAAAGAAAAAAGCCAACCAAGAATTTAATAAACAGCCAGACTGTTTATCAAAAATGAGGGAAAAATTAGAATATTCTCAGATAAACAAAAGTTGAGGGAGATTATTACCCCTAGATCTGCCCTACAAGAAAAGCTAAGAGAGTCCTGCAGTTTGAGAGGATGATAGATAGTAACTCAAAGCCATATAAAGATGTTAAGATTGCCAATAAAAGGAAATACATGGTCATATATAAAAACCAGTATTATTTTTACTTTGGTTTGTAACTCCTTTTCAATCTGAATTAAAATGCAAATGCATAAAATATAGTTAATACATACATAATGTACATTATTGATGTCACAAATTATAACTTCACAGAGTAGGGGGACAGGGACAAAGCTGTATAACAATAGAGTTTTTTTGTATGCAATTGAAGTTAACTTAGTATCAGTTCAAGTTATATTGTTATAACTTCAGAATGTTATATGTAATCCCCATGATAACCACAAAGAAAATAACACTAGAATATATACAAAAGGAAATGAGAAGGGAATCAAAACATGTCACTACAAAAAATCAACTAATACAAAAAAGGCAGTAATGGAGGAAATGAGTAACACAAAGGCTATATGGAAAAATAAAAACCAAAACCAAAAAGCTCTAATACATACAGCAAATGAATTAAGATGGGAAAAGTAAATCCTTCTCCTAAAAGTAAATCCTATCCCCTAATTATGGGTTGAGTATCCGTTATCTGAAATGCTTGGGACCAGAAGTGTTTCTGTTTTCAGGGCTTTTTAGATTTGTAATATTTGGGTATACATAATGAGATATTTGGAAGATGGGACCCAAGTTTAAATATGAAATTCACTTATGTTTCATGTATACCTTATACAGATAGCCTAAAAGGAAATAATTTTGTGCATGAAATAATGTTTGTATACATGAACCGTTAGAAAGCAAAGGTGTCACTACCTCAGCCACCCATATGAACAATCCGTGGTTGTTTGGCATCACCATCATTCTTGACTGAATTTATATGCTACTGATAACCAATAATTTTCTTAAACACTCATTAAGTACTTAACAGTACAAAATGACATACCATTAATGCAGTGAAAAAATGTGTTCAGAGTAACTTAACAGTAGCATTATATCAACTGTTTAACAACAAAAATGACAAGCTTTCAGTCTCCGTCTGCAATGGTGTGTTTTGATTAAAAGGTTACTATATACATTGCATTTTGTTTTTCTAGGTGAGGAGAAACATCAGAAATAGTTGAGCAGCCAGGAAGTGGGTCCTCTAGGGATGAGTGGGCATTCTGCTGGATGGCTTTTTAAAATGTTTCCTCTAGAGTCATCTGCCTCATTAACAATTGTTTTTGTCTTAGAAGTCTCTCCTTGATTTTATAAACTGACATGATTTCTTGTTCTATTATGAATACATGCTCTTCTAGTCCTTCAACAAACCTATCATGTATTAAATATTTTCACCATGTTATTTATAGGCATTTTTTCTGCAGTATTAACAACATCATCTTCATCATGATTATCACAATCACCTTGATCCAGAACCATTTGGCTATTTCTCCATTGGTCAATGAATGAAAAATTGGAGTTTCATTATCAGTGTTAAAAACCACTTCAATATTCACTTCTTTTACCTTACTGATGACCTCTGAATGTGTATTTTTTACACATGTAAGGAGGACAGACATCATTTTTTTCTCACTTGACATACAGAAACCTTCAAAGTTACCATGTTGTTTATCATCATCACTGAACATAGTCACAGGCCAGAGATCATGCCAGGTATGCACACCTGTCTTCAGTTGTGTTCAAAGTGTTAACAACATATATGACATCCTTCATGCTTAACTCCCTTTGAAAACCTTCCACATTCATGCTCTGTTCACTGCTGCTGGCACGCTGCTCAAGAAAGTGATTTTTATAATTTACTCTTCATCATTCTAAGGATATACCCTGGTCACATTGATGAATTAATGAAGTCTCATTTGGGGCAAAGTACGTGGCATATACATTCTTTTTTATGAGAATGGCAGATGAAAAGGACAGTTGTAAAGGCATAGCAAAATCTTGCAGTCATCACTTGGTCAAGATTCCTTGTAGTGAGAATGAACTGCTAATACCAATGTTTGTGAAACCAATCAGAAAAGATGTCCCTGGTGATCCATGCCTTTTCATTAGCATGATATTAATAAATGACTTGTAAAAAAATGTCTTTGAAAAAAGTAAGGACACAAGCTTTTGCCTAACACAGCAAGTTGATACTTACGGGTGCCTGCTGCATTAGCACATTCCAGCACAGTTATCCTATCTTTGGCATCCTTAATTTCTGTAGGGGCTGTCTCACCGGGGGTAATAACATAAGAAGAGACATTTCATCAACATTAAAGATCTATTTTGGTACCAAATTTTCATCAGCAATGACCTTGGCAAACTCATTAATGAGTTTCTCAGCTGCTTCATGATCAACAGATGCTTTATCACTATGACTCTTTAAATATCTAACGCTGTAGCTTTTCTTAAATTTCTGCAACCAGCCTATTGAATATTCATGTATCCTTCAATTTTCAGTTAATCGTGATCTTTGCTTGTTGCCCTGATTAGCTTACCATTAAGTAGCATGTGTTCACTACAACACTGATGGATTCACTCTTTCAATACACGATCAAGATTTTCATTTTTAGCTTTATGCAGTGTTTTTCTGTTTTTCATTAACTTCTGTTCATCACTTTTAACACACAATTTCAACAGTTTATCCTTCTGTTTCTTCAGGTCACATATGGTGGTCATTCCGATACCATACTCTTCTGTAAGATGTTTTACACTTACACTGCTGTCCTTTTTCCAACAGCTTGACTTTCTGTACTAAAAACATTTTCTTATCACTGTTACCCATAGGGTTATTTGACATAGGCCTTTGTGACATTTTTTCATCCATATCTTTATACCACAGAGCAGAGAATAAGCAAAAAACACAGTGAGTAATGCGTATAGTCTTGGCCCCATGTGGAGCATCATGGGGAACCTGCTCTTGGCACATCTGTCCTGTACACGTGCCATTTTATTACCCTTAGTGGCTAATGTGCCTGTGTGGGGGAATCAGGGTGTATACAGAAAAGATGTCACGGCTGGAGGGAGCTGAGAGTCTTTTTTCTCTTGGAGACATCGAAAAAACTGTGTGTTGTGCACCTGCATTTTGATTGTGACCCACCACAGGAGGTCAAGTGTGGAATTTTCCACTTGTGGCATCATGTCAGCACTCAAAAGGTTTGAGATTTTGGAGCATTTCAGATTTTAGCTTTTCAGATTAGGGATGTTCAACCTGCACTTTAAATGTAATGGATTAAATTCCTGGGTCAACTTCACACTCATAGACATTGCAAATAGGACTTGGCCTGTGAGTTTATGTGTATAAGGATAAGTGACAGACACCCACCTCAAAATAGCTTAGGTAAAAATAGGAATATGTCATTGGGATCATAGGATATATGTTAGTACCAAAGGGTAGGAATGTATCTGTACCTCAGAAATAGCTGGAACCAAAAACTTGAAAGCTGTTTGGACTTGCTTCAATATCTTCTCTCTCTAAAGACCACTTTTCTCTTCTCAGGTTTTTAAGGCAGGAAGCATGTCTACCTGTAGGAACCAAACTTTCATATTTCGGTTTAGGTGTGTAAAGGGAAAAATTATTCGCTTTCTCAGTTCTAGTTCCAAAACTTCCAGGGAAGGACTCTGTTCCAGGACGGCTTCCTGCCAAATTGGGCCAATCAACTATTACCAGAAGGATGAGTCACATAGCTCTAAAAATGAATAAATAAAAAATAAAGGCTCCCACAATAATGCCATGATTTGGACAAGGAGTTCTTCAGACCGGATACTAGGCAGATAATCTCATATGCATCTTCTTCAGAGATAAGGGAAAGGAAAGAATCAAATATATCTCCATATTGTAGGCCACTAATGTCTCCTTTGAGAGAAAGGGAATTAATGTACTTTTAGATATACTGATTTAGGGTTATATTAAGTTATTAAGTAAGAAATGTACAATTTCCTTAAGAACTAAATTTGACAGTTGATATCTCTGACATTTCACTTTGACACTTCTTGTTTTATTTTTATTGTGAAGGTACATCCTTATTATTTCAAACTCACCGTTTGGCTTGTGATTATCTTTCAAAATTTTTTAGAGCAATTTTTGTGAAACCATGAATAATTCAAAAATTTGTGTTATTTCTGAATATGAATCCCACCATGGAACCAGTGCAGTGTAGACAGCTTGAAATTATCAATAAAGTGTTTGGGAAGGATGTGGCTAATGAACCCACATTACCGTGTTTCCCTGAAAATAAGACCTACCCATAAAATAAGCCCTAGCAGGATTTCTAAGCATTTGTGCAATATAAGCCCTACACGGAAAATAAGACCTAGTGATGGGCGTGGCTACACAGCATATCTGCACAATCCATGCGTTTTGTCGCAGAGCGGTAAAGAAAGCAGCCCTTCTCATCTGCCCCACGAAAGCTCTATTGTTCGACATGTGAGATTGGGACCAATGGTTCTAAAGGAAATAGAGTCGCAAGGAATTCAGGATGGAATTTGGGGTTTGGAGAGTTACGATGATGTTCCAGAAGAAGACGACTTAACTATATTTGAATAAATGTAGATTGTTGTACCATACTTTAAAAAAATAACACATCCTCTGAAAATAAGCCGTAGGGTGTCTTCTTAAGGAAAAATAAATATAAGACCCTGTCTTATTTTCGGGGAAACACGGTACATCTATGGTTTCAGAAAGTTCTGTTCTGATGAGTTTAATCTTGAAAATGAGCCACGTGGGTGAGCTGAGACCAAGGTAGATAATGATGAGCTGAAAGCAGTAGTGGAAGATATCCATCTCAACCTTTGCATCAATTAGCAGCAAGATCTGTCATTACTATTCCAACAATATTGGACCATCCGAAACAAATCGGCAAGGTAAAGAAGCTGGAGAGACTGGTACCGCATGAATTAAACAAAAGTCAGAAAAGAAATTGTCTCAAAGCTTGCCTTTCTTTGCTGTCACGATACAAAGGTGAACCATTTCTGCACTATTGTTATGTGTGGTGAAAAATGGATTTTTTGACAATCAAAAGCATTTGGCACATGGTTGGATAAAGATGAAGTGCCGAAACACAGTCTAAAACCGAATATTCATCAAAAAAAGCTAATGGTGTCTATTTGGTGGTCCAGGGCAGGTATTACCCACTACAGCTTCATGAAACCTGGTGAATAGATTACAGTGGATGTCTACTGCAACCAATTGGATGAAATGATGAGGATGCTTATGACTAAATAGCTGAGACAGGCCAATCCTTTTACAAGACGACACTTGACCACATGTCACAAAAACAATGCTGCTCAAGTGACAGAGACTGGACTTGGAAACTCTCTATATTCACCAGACCTTGCGCCAACTGACTACCACTTCCTTCCAGGCTTTGGACCATTTCTTGCAAGGACAAATATCCAATTCTCAATGAGCTGTGGAAAACACCTTTTTGATTTCATTGCCACTTGCTCTCTGAGCTTCTTTGCTGCCTGCATAAACAACCTACCGTTAAGATGGCAAAATTGTATTGACAGTTGAGGCACATACTTTGATTAATTGTACTACCTCTTGTTGGAGATATAGTAAACTACACTTTTGATTTGAAATCATACATTTCAGATTTAATGACCTAATATGTTGTCCAGCAGTTATTTGAAAATCTAAGATAAGAGGGGATCAGCACTGTGTACTAGGATTTTAATGGGAGAAATTTCCAAGGAAATAAATAAAGAATAAGAAATAAAGAGTACAGAACCTGAGTGAACAAACACCTAAAGCTGATCACTGTCTATTCACTCTTCAATCCATTCCTAACTGGCTGCTATAAAAGTATTCCATGAAGACAGTTTTCAACAACTAATTTACAGTGACTCCCCCTCCCCCAATGACACTAAATTCAGTAGGCATTTTTAAGTCCTCAAATTTCATGACATGTTAAATATTGTTATCTACTCCCTCATGTTGAAATTGTCTTCTCTTGATTTCTATGACATCATTCTTCCATGATTTTATTCCTATTTTTCTATCCATTCTTTCTCAGTTTCCCTTGCTAGTTTGTCTTTTTCTGTCAGGCTCTAAATAGTCCTCCAAATTTGGCTCTGGATTCCTTTCACTTAGTACTCTGTATTCTCTCCTTAGGTAATATCATCCATGCTTACATACATGCTAATATCTCTCTAAGTTAGCATCCAGTTCAGATTTCCCTTCTGGACTCGTGATCCATATATTGAACTACCTACTTGATATGTCCACTTGAAATCTCAATGGGATCTTAAAATCAATATGTCTAATATTAGATCCCAAACCAATTCTATCTCCAAGGTTCCCTTCTAAGTGAATAATACAACTATTCATACAACTAAACACACCAAAAATGTAAGGGTTGTCAACTCCATTCCTAATTTTCTCTTCTTATAAGGACACCAGTCAGATTAGCACCCACCCTAATAATTTCATTTTAACTTAATTACCTCTTTGAAGACCTGTCTTAGGGCGGGCACTGTGGTTCACACCTATAATCCTAGCACTTTGTGAGGCCAAGGCAGGATGATTGCTTGAGGCCAGGAATTTGAGAACAACTTGGGCAGCATAGGGAGACCTCATCCCTATAAAAAATGAAAAAATTAGCTGGGTGCAGTGGCATGTGCCTGTAGTCCTAGCTGCTCAGGAGTCTCTGAGGTGGGAAGATCTCTTGAGCTCAGGAGTTTGAGGTTACAATGAGCTATGATGATGCCACTGCATCACAGAGCAAGACAGCAAGACTCTGTCCCCCCACACACATCCCCTAAAAAGACCTATCTTCAAATACAGTCACATTCGGAGATACTGACGGTTAACACTTCAACATATGAATTTGGAGGAGATACAATTCAGCCCTTAACACAAGAGTTGAGCAGGATTAATTAGAGAAGTTAGGTTAATAGCACACAGTGAGAGAGCCCAAAAGCCTATTACCAATTTTAATTCAGGGCCCTTGGAAACCATTGTGATATATTAAACATGAGAGGTCCAAAGTAATATACAAGGAAGAGAATTCTTACTGCTATGCACTGGGAAGATTAGAATGAAAATACAAAAAAGAATCTCAATTATAACTTCTATTATAACTAAGTCCATTTATATTTTTAGGTTAATTTCTGTTTTTAAATGTAATATGTGAAATAAACTATATATATTATTGTGTATACAAACTATAAATTTATAATATTTAGTTTTCTAGCTTTTTAGTTTTTTTTCTCTTCCTTCATGCAGCCTGGTTTGATTTCAGGTGCATTGCTCATTTATACAGGATAAATTGTATAAAGTGCATACCAGTCAAACATGCTAACTTTTGTACAGCTTGGTAGGGGAAAAAGTTGTCATCAACTTTGACATGACACGACACATCTACATGCTTAATGCACATAAAATATAAAATTAAGCCTAATAAGTATTTGACAGTAGCTGTATAACACAAAATATTCTATCCCTTCTGTTTTTCCTTTGCTTGCTTTTCAGTGCCATATGCAAATTTTTATTATCTTGCTTAGTACTATGACAAGAGAGAGATGGTGAGAGCTAAGACAAAAAGGGAGATGCACAGCAATGAAATTATGGATGTGAAATCGTTTTCAAAATAGATAGAAATACTATAAACTGAAAGCTGGTATTGCTCTTAATACTATAATCATAATTTAAGTTGAGACAGTATAAATTTTATTGACTTTGAGTGCTTGATAATTTTAAGCTACTTGATTATAAGTATTCCTATCCTCTAATCACTTATTCTCTAACTAATTTGCATGTTATCCTGTGTTAAATCTCAGAAATAAATTTTTAAAGGTTTATAAAAATGACTGGGGTTAGAGGTTACAAAATGCTCTATGATGATAAAATTTTGAATATGGACTCTCGTGCCAGACTGCTTGAGTTTGAATACTAGCTTTGCTACTATCAGTTTTGAGACCTTGGGCAAGGAACTTATCTTCTCTGTGCTTCAGTTTCCTCATCTTTAAAAAGAGATGATAGTAGTATGTATGTTATGGAATATTATGGGATTAAGTTATTTAATTCATTAGCTATTAGTGCCTTTTAAAAATCAACATATAGTAGTAGTAATAAACATTCTTGAGTGGTAAGATATAACATATATAAGATATGGACTTTTATGGGTTCTTCGCAGTTATACCATAATTTAATTCTTACCTGTTTAAGTTTTAGTATTCTTTATTAAATATGGTATCTAGTAAGCCATTTGTGTCAGGAATGTAGTAAGAATGAGCATCCAATAAGATTTTTCTTTAAAGAAGACTGTACTTTTATCATTGTGTCATTTCTAGTGTAAGCCTGAGAAGTCAGATTGACATCTATCTGTAGTATAATACAAACTATAAAGTAAGATCTGCCTTGTACTTTAATGCTTGGCCAGGGTTAAATGAGCTTGATTGGTGGTATGCCAGTGGTAGTAATAATGCCAATGATGTATTTGGTGTGGAATAATCTAGAGTGCTGTGAAATAAGAGACTGTAAATCCCCATAACTTAAAAAGAATTTTATTTCCTTCTCACATTAACAATCCTGGGACATGTTCCAAGACTGGTAAAGCATGCTGGGATTATTAACAGATTACCAGGCCTTATCTATGGTATAGCTTTGTCATTTCTATGGTAATATCATTCATCTACATCATTGAAGATTTGTATTTCAGCCTACAGGAAGGAGGAAAAAGGAAGAGGGCATATTCTTTTCTTGTTCAGGCTATAACCAAAGAGTTGTTATACATCACTTATGTTCATATCCCCTTGGACAGAAGCTGGTCATAGGGCTACACTAACTGTAAGAAAGTCTGGGAAATATCTTTAATGGGTGATCACACACCAGCAAAACACTTGTTACTATAAAAGCAAAGCCATTTGGGGGGACAGTTAACAATTCATCTGTTACAATGAGATTCAAAAATTAGTATTTAGAAACAAAGAAAAATGGGGAAGCAACTTATATGCAGGGAAATGTGTATATTTTAAAAACCTTATTCAAAGATATCCCAGCTGCAC